CGCGATGCCAAGAAAAAGTGGCACACTCGGTGGGGTGGCACTCTCGGTGGTGGAATACGTTAGCTATATTACCTTTTTGCTAAAATAGTAATAGAAAGTGTATTAAGAGAATTCGGTCCGATGGATCCGCGCCTCAGCAAGAACTTTTGACAGTCACTTCCGTACTGTTTGTTATCATATTTTGCGTCGTGCTTGCTGATGACGTTCTTCCTCTCCTTCATAGTTGACCATACATCAAAAGCCAGAGGACGCCACAGTAAACTCTAACAAAGCCTGCAGGTCTGTGCATCTGTATGACATCAATTGCGATTCTCTGATCTTCTATAGAGTTTGAAGCATTATGTAATTGCTGTTGCAATCTTACCTCAGACCACGTCTATGAGCTTTCTCGTTAAAAGGTTGAGTCTTCCCGTTCACCCAGCTCACTTGTTATTAAGCGAGTGCATCTCTTGAGGCCCAAAATATACAATGAATTGAATCTATTGATAGAAAACTAAAGTCCCACAGCATGCAAAACAGTAAACCCAATAGCGCACCGAAATTACTCTTTAGATAGTTACTTGGTGGTTATGATGTTTCTCTAGACTTGGTTTCCAAACTCAAAATACGATGAGAAGCTGACGGCTCCACAGGAGAATGATCCCGTGGCTATCATTGCCCTTTCTGCAATTCAATCGAAAGTCATCCTCCGTAACCTATCCGTTTAGACCCCTATGGCAACACCGGTTAGGGCCTTCAAGATAGTTTGTCGGAGATATCGCAATGTTGCTCGGCATCACCCGCATTCGTTCCCAGCCGTGCATATATTTAGCTTTCTGTGCTTGGTACGGAGTATCCAAAGATACGATTAGAACTTAAAAAATGTGGAGATTGTCGTGGCTAACAGAGTTCGAGTTCAATGCCTTAACCGCTGGCCCCTAAGCTTTGAAGTGCAAGAACTCGGCCTCAGATATCACCATTCAATACGTAATCTGTGCTCTTCATCCCTTATGAGTTCCAAGCCAAATTCTGTGTATCAATTGAGAACAATACCACGCATTGACTCTATACATCTACTAAGTCCCAGAAAGTATACAGCACTACACTCATCTCAAGATTCCAGGCGAAATATCCTCACATACTCTCTTTCAACTTCGTGCCTGCAACAAACCCTCATCCCCTCTAAACAGCCAGACTCGCACACCAAAACTCCGTCTTACAAACCGTGGTCTCTTCCCCCAACAACCCCCCCACAAACCTGAACGTCGTCTCCCCATCCCTGAAGCACACAAACTCTTCTTTTCCCCTTCCATTAGTCGCTTCCAACGTTACTCCACCCGCAATCTCTCCTTTTGGCCATGCATCAGCGCCCCTCTCGATCCTGCTCTTAAAAACGCTCGCATCGTCTAGCGTAACGCGGCGTGTGAAGCTAGCCTATTAGATCGCTCGTACAGAAGCGACGGTGCCAATAGCAGTGGGTGAAGAGCTATCTAGTGTGCCTGCGTAAAGAATTGTAGAGGACGAGGTAGTGTCGCTAAGAAGAGACCGCGTGGTGCACGTCGTGAGATAGACGTTCTTAGATAAACCTATCAACATAGCACGAGAGTGGAGCGGAAGCGGTGTAGTGCTCACGAGACTCGCGAGAAGAAAATGAACGAGAAAGGAGTTTATGGCGGACATATACATTATATCGTGACTTAGGAGTGAAGATGTTGCAGAGCTAGAAGTATGTCATATGGCCCTCTTCTAAAGTTGGGAACAGCGATAACGTGGTTCATAAGCGAGTCAGCCACCCAAGCGAGTCGGCCACTTTGTACTGGCGCGTTAACGTTAACACTATAACCCGTTATGTCTTAAGTACATAATTATTTATTAATCTATTTTAAATCTAATCTTTAACTTACTCTTTTTAACGTCTAATTATAACGTATTTAAAGCTAAAGACGTGCTACTTCTATCTATAACGTGCTTTAAACTACTCTCTAAGACTAACGCGCTAGAAAGCGCTTTTAACGCAACTATAAACTAAATTTAAAGCGCCTAAATAAGCTAGAAGAAGAGGCTATTATTAGGCGTATTCTTAAAGAGTCTACGTAAGGATTTACCTCTATAAAGGCTAAAGTTTAAGTAATAGCTAATAAACTATTAGAGAAGCGTAGTGGCAACCTTATTAGTAAGAACTAGGTTAACAACTTTATTAAGTAGACTTTTAAGCTCTATACGCGCTAGAGCTATTCTTATAATTACTAGTAAGCTGCCTATAAGGATCTAGTAGCTATTTAGCGCTAGCTTAACTTAGTCTAAGTAATAAAGTAAAAGTAGGGTATTATAGATAATAATATCTATAACTTTAATAAAACTAGCTTTATAATAAGTAAGATTCTATTATAGTTAGTTATTATAGGCTTAAAAGGATATTAAAAAAGTAGGTATAGCTAGGCAACTATAAGTAGGTTACTATAATCTAAGGCGTAGGCGCGTTAGGTTGCTAAATACTACTTTTTATTATCTTTATAGGCAAGGTGCTTATTAACGTTTAGTTTAAGAATTTACTTACTAACTAGGTTCTTAAAGTTAATTCTAATAGCTAGATAAATAATTAGCTTAGTTTTGCTTAGTTAGAGCACTTTAATACCTATATAAAGAGGTATACTATAAGTAGGTATTAACTACTTATTATTAATAGTGTAAGAGGCTACGCCTAAAGTGTGTGTGTGATCGAGTATATCTATACGACTACCTGGACTTCAAGAAGCTTGAAGTCTTGTTACTGCCTTTTTGGCTATGGATGGCGTAAGTAGTCGTACGCTCGGCCCGTTGGGCCCGCCCATTACAAATAGCTATCAGAGCTACTACTCTATTAATTTCTAAGATCTTTATAAGAAGAAGAATATTATTCTTCTTTACATGCCTTTACACTTATCTTACCTATTATAGCCTCTTAACGTTACCTACTTCTCGCTATTAAAGCGTAAGTATAGTAACGCTATTTTAGGCTTAGCATATAACTACACCTACTATATTAATAAAGAGACCTTTCTACTAGCCTTTAAGGCTGCTTTTAAGTAGTCTATTATAAAAGAGAATATCTAAGCTAGCTTTAGAGGCGCTAGACTAGTCCTACACAACCTATAAGCTATGCTATCTAAGCTTAATATAGTAGTGCAGACGCTAGTATAATTACTGCAATAGGCAGCTACTTAGGAGGCGCAGACACTATATAACACGCGCAAGGTTAAGGCTTAAAGTACTTTTATTTAATAGAGAGTAAGAAACTATCCTAAGTCTTCTATAAATTCTTTTAATAAGAAGGTTATATAGCTAAGTAAAGAGGCTTAGTAAATAGTATATAAGATAACGCTTATAAAAGAGGAAGTAGCTACTCTTTAAGAGGCTTTAAATATAGCAAATAAGCGTAAGAACTATAAGTAGCGATATATATAGATAGAAGAGACTCTTACTATAGGCAAAGTATAAGAAGTATTAGCTAAATAGGCAGGTAGTAGTTATAGTAATAGTAAGAGTGCGTTAAAGAGAGTGTAAGGAGAGTAGTAGTGCAGGCGTTGTAAGCAGACTAGATATAACACTTATACCTACGTAGTTAAGATAGATAGTATAAGTAATAGTAGTAATTTTAATAATTAATTTAGTATATTGTAATAGTTTATTAACTATAATAAAAGACTATAATAATGTGTTAAAGTTGACGCGATAGTACAAAGTGGCCGACTCGCTTGGGTGGCTGACTCGCTTATGAACCACGTTATATTCAACAATTGTTATTTGTTTATCCTCAGCGTATGATAGATCGGGAATTGACTGCAGTGAAAACCCTTCTATTTCTACTACATACCCTCCTCTGCATCCACACCTTAGATCCCCATCACCACAAGCAACCAAGCAATCAGCCAATCTCCATATTCTCAACATAGCATCGTCAAAGTGCAGCTTATCATTTATACTGAAGTAGCCTGCAGCTCGTAATCGATAAAATGCCAAGATCGAAAGTACTTGTTCAAAGTATTTTTCCAGTATAACCAGACGAGGTCACTGCATATAGAGAGTCGTTACCCAACTACACGGGTAGGTTATCGAACATCTTGGTAATTTATATTGCTCGTGTCCTAGATTGCATAAGCGTTTTAGAACCGGGTTTGAGGTACTTCAGCCGCCGGCTCGAACGGCGGTGTGGGACGATCATTGCTTGCTGTGCTTGCTATGTTTGCGGGTAATTGCCGTCTGGTGGTGAGATGGAATTGCAATTTATCTTCAAGACGAGACGAAGGGAACATTGAAGATCAAGACTCTGTTTAAGGGTTGACGATATTTTGAAGAATTACTATGGGAACATGAACAACATCTCAGTTTAACAAACCAGCAGCAAGCGCCTCCATATCTTCCAACGTCTCCAACTCCTCGACTCTGTGCGACGCCTTTGCCTTCTTCCTCTTCTTTGCAGCCTTTTCCTCGTCTTCGGAGTCAGACTGGAACCACTTCTTCTGCTTCTTTGGCGCCTCTTCTTGTTCCCCATTTTCTGACACATCATTATCGTCATCGCTGTACTCAGCGTCGGCTCTAAAGTTTGCCAAGAGGTCCTCGCCAGGATCTGGAAGTACAACACCCGCATCGCTTGCATCATCATCACCACCAGCCATCTCAGCCCTCTCCCTCTCTTTGCGCTTTCGCAACTTCTCCTTCCTCTTTGCCTTGGCCGTCTCCTTGTCTTCCACATCGGCGTTTTGTACCTCTTGTCGTGCTGCTTCGATGAATTTCTGTCGCTGCTCTTCGGGCAATCCCTTGGCACGGAATTGCTCTTCGTCTTCGAGTTCGTAAACCTCGTGCGGATTGCCCTCATCGTCGTAGATGAGCTTCTTGCCCTTGTCCATGAGTTTGGTGAGCTTCTTCTTGGACTGAAGAAGTTTCTCGCGGCGATGGCTGTCGATGACAATGGGTTGCGACGCGCCAGCAATGTGGACAACACGTCCACCAACAGGAATCTGTGGATCTTGATCGGTACTGAAGTCTTCGGGTTCTTCGTCGGCTGGAATTCGTCGCTTGACAGCCATGAAGTCGTCGTTGGCTCCGTTGGTTGCCGCTCCAGCTCCACTGAAATCGTCTGCTTGGGCCTCTTCGTCTCCATCCCTGACAAGCTTTTGGTAGTGCTCTGCCAACACATCCTGGTTCTTCCTTTCGAACATTCGATCGTATTTGGTTCGTACAGGCTTGGCTGCTTGCGCGACTTCCTCGTCATCTGAGGTGTCTGAAACCTCGATAGTCTGTCTCGATGCCTGCTTCTTCTGCTTGCTGTCGTCCTTGATAAATTTGATTCTAGGCGTTCCTGGGAGACCCAGACTGGCAGCATATGCTTCTAGATTGTATTCCTTCAACTTGAAGACCTCCTTATCCTTCTGTAGGTAGATGGACTTGACGTGTGTCATAAAAGCCTTATGTCCCAAGTACTTCAAGGCTGGATCTTGGAAGCACATCTTCTGAAGTTGGTCTTTGATTGATTGGCGCTTCTTTTGTCGCACGTTGATCATCTCAATGGGCACTTTTTTGACCTCGAGGCGCTTTAGCATGCCCTCTTCTTCACTGGGTGCTAAGAATAGTACACCCCGTCCTTCTCGGTTGTATCGTGCCGTTCGACCGACACGATGAATGTATGTGTCCACATCATCAGGACAGTCGACCTGTATGACAAAGTCGACAGCAGGGAAATCTAAACCTCTGGCCGCCACGTCGGTTGCAAAAAGACACGAATGTTTGGCCGAGGAGAACTTGGCGGTAGTGTCAAGTCGAGCGCCTTGTTTCTGGCGACCATGAATGTGCAGCAGTGGAATACCAGGCTGCATGTGACGAAAAGACTCGTAAACAAATCGAACAGTCTTGGCAGACGAGAAGAAGCACAGAATCTTGGACTTTTTGCTTGCCTGGATAAAGCTCCATAGCGTGTCAAGCTTCTCCTCGAGAGGGCAGATGATGTAGTTTTGCGTGAGGCCTTTGGGTGTTGCGCTCTTGTCCTCAGCATGCACTGATACATACTCGGGGTCCTGGAGACTCAAGCGTGCAAGGTCTGAGACCTTCTTCGATTGGGTAGCGGAAAAGAGAAGTGTTTGCCTCTCCTTTGGTAGATATTCAATAATTGCATCCACGTCTCGCTGAAAGCCCATGTCAAGAATCCTGTCGGCCTCATCCAATACCAGCATTTTGAGGTCGTCGACATTGAATGCTGCTGTCTGTGACAAGTGCTGCAGCATCCTTCCCGGCGTTGCGACCAGTATGTTCATCTTTGTCAAAGCCTCCCTCTCGGCCTGTAAGCTCTTGCCTCCAATGAGCAGACCTGCAGCAAACATATGACCATGCCTTCCAATCTTGCGCAGCACATCGAATATTTGAATAGCGAGCTCGCGGGTCGGGGACAAGATCAGGGCACCTAGGCCTGCGTCTGGGCCGACGTGCTGCAACCGGTATAGGTTCTCCAAGACAGGGATGATGAAAGAAAGCGTCTTTCCACTGCCTGTCTTTGCGGCGCCGAGTATGTCGTGGCCTTTGAGCGCTAGCGGAATGGCCCTGGCCTGGATATCGGTCATTACTGCGAAATGCGACGACTTGAGGCCTTGCTTGGTCGGATCAGAGAGCGGAAGGTCTGTGAAGTCTTTGTATGAGCCATTTCTGGGGTCCTAGTGATGTTGTCAGCGTACTGCGCTCTCGAACCTCACTTTTCGCATTCCTACCAGGTCCTGAACCGCCTGCTCCAGCTTCTCCACATCTACATCGTCGCGTTTCCTCTTTTGAACATTTTCGCGCTTCTTCAATTTGGTGGGTCTCGTGCGACCGGTGATTCCAGGTGCGACCATCCTAGCGCATGGCCTAATCCTCGAGGCGATTTGGTGTTGGTGCTTCCGCGTCGCATCGCAAGAGAACTTTTTGGTGGAGCATTTTGGTGGTCCGTGCGCTTCGCCACGGGGATTCCGTGGGCTCGGCATCGCGACTCTGGAGCTTCGCCTTGCACTTTCACCTCACATCCACTCTCACTCCAACAAGTCATCGCGCCAAGAGGGCATCTCTTTGGGGGCACAAAACTTTCAACTACGCTTGATATTCTCACTAATCATCAGCTTGTCGCACAGGCGACCACGCCGTGTCTGTCCACCTGTTCTGTAGATCGCTCACTACTCGACTCAACACATCATACACTTTAAATTAACATGGGCGACGACATTGATGCTGAGCTTGCAGGCATCGGCAAGGAGCTCGACAAGGACGCGGAGATTGAGCGCATCCGCGGCGTCTTCAGCCTCGATGCATACGCCGTCCTCGACCTCCAACCCGGTGTCCCCGAATCCGACATCAAAAAAGTCTACCGCGCCAAATCTCTCCTGATCCATCCCGACAAGACCAAGAACCCGCTCGCACCCGATGCCTTTGACCGCCTGAAGAAAGCCCAGACCGTGCTCCTCGACGAGAAGCTGCGTGCCGAGCTGGATGAGAACATTGCGGATGCGCGCATGTTGCTCATGCGCGAGAAGAACCTTACGGCCGACGACGAGGAGACGCGCGGTGAAGAATTTGCAAAGGAGTGGCGACAAAAAGTCATCTGGGTGATTCGAGACAACGAGATGAGGAAACAGAGGCAGATGAAGGCGGCTATGCGCGAGGAGGGCAGGCAGCAGCGCAAAGAGGAGGAGGAGGCCAAGGAGCGCAAACGCAAGAGGGAACAAGAGGACGCCTGGGAAAAGACAAGGGACACGAGAATTAACAGCTGGAGAGACTTTCAGCAAGGCAAAAAGCCCGACACTGCTGAGGGCGGCGCTAAGAAGAAGAAAAAGAAGGTCAAGGCCTTGGGATAGGATTGTGCTCCGTTGAAACAACGAGATCTGTTTGCAGTCGGTCGATACGCTGCTCAATATCCAGTGTATCGACACGTTCGACATGACCCAGCCATGTGGGCCGTCTTGAGACAGACTCGCTGGTCCACCACAACACATCCGCCGAGTCTTTGAAAGAAAAGAAAAACCCCCATGCCAATGTTTTTTAGATTTCCATTTTTCTACATAACCTCGATACCCAAGAAAATATTTTGTTTTTGTTTTTGTTTTCCGTTGCTGAATAATCCCAGTAGTATATCTCTCCATTGCCATCCCGTTTCCATCTCCCACAATATATCATTGACAAAACTCAGGGTCTGGCCCTGAAATAAAAATTCTAAAAAAATATCCCCCAACACCCCTTTGTTACGACGGACTAAACTTCCTTCCACCGTTTTAGGTCCGGTTGTCGCATTCGCGCTGGCTGGGATGCAATGCATAAACAGTGCCCTCCCCTTTGGTTTTGGTACCCGCGGGGGGGTGTACTTATTTATGGCTACGCGCGATTGTTTCACCCAAACACGTGACATGCGCTCTTTTTTTTTATCATTTCTTGACTCACTTCTCTCCCCCCCACCCCCGTTCCTTCATGCAAGTGATAAGGGCTCGGTTCATGAATCGTTGTGGAGTGGGAGTGTTTTAAACTACCCAATGCTCTCTTAGATATCGTCATGTACCGAACAAGAAGATAAGGAGGAAGGAGGGGACAAGTATCAACTAACCAAGCTTGCAAGTAAAGTATAACATATCGAAACCGTACAAACGTGAGGAGCATGCCTACTTTTTTCTTCTCTTTTCGTGGATATTCCCATTTCAATCCTGCGAAATACAGATACTTGTATGGATACTGAGATGAATAATGTGATGGTAGCTAGCGTTACCAATCACAACCCTCCCCAGCTCCATGAAACCAGATTGATCCATGCCAAACGAAACCCCCCCGCTGAATACAGCACAGATGTGGTAAATAGCGCAATTCCCACATTAGGGGGGGAGGGACCTGGCATGCCTCCCATATTGCATCCCAGCTTCGTAGTTTGCATCTGATGCCTAGCAGTAGCAGCAAGCCTGCAATACGCTATCTATACACAGATAGACAGACAGAGAGCGAGAGAGAGAGAGAGAGAAAGAAGTGCTCGCAGCGTGTTTGCGTCCGGCCTCAATCCCATTATCCCATTTGACTTGTTTGACATACACAACTCGGCAATTGCATGCATACTTGGTTAGTTGTCAAGAATGAATGAATGAATGGATGGGATAGAGAGAGAGAGAAAAGGAAAGAAAAATTATGTGTGTGTGTGCATGTATTGTAACCCCAGCACTACGCCACACGACTTCACACCTCCACCTCCCCACACACACACACAGCACCAGTCACCCATCCACGCACCCCTTTTCGTTTTCGGCAGCAGAAGCAGCCCTCCAAAAATAGAACTCCAACTATCGCATGCAGCTTACTCCTTGTCTCTTAATTTCGCAATGCTCATCTCATTACCCCCCCCCTTCTTATTCTCCTTCTTCTTTCCGCTAGGGCTAGCTGCTAGTAGTAGTAGTGGTAGCAATAGTGGTGGCGTTGGTAGGTTGTAGGATGAGCATGAGGGCGGGGGGGAAAGGCTAGGAAGGGGGTAAGCAGAGATACAAGCTAGGATCAGCATGTCTTGGGTTATGAAATAAAGCGCCGGGTTCTCTGGCATGGATGGGAGTGGCGGGTGGGTGCGGGTGGGTGGGCGAGTGCAAGTAAGACGTAAAAGGATATGAGTTGTGATGAACAAAGTCTCCCTTCTTTTTTTTTTCTGACTTTGTCGTTTGTTTTTGTCTTCTTTTTCTTTGTTCAAGGTTGCTTTTTGTTTGTACACGCCATGTGTTTTGTTCAATCGTTCGTTTTTTTTTGCAGCGGATCTGTTCTGCGGAGAGATGCTAGCGTCAGTGTTGATCGTGTGTGTATGTGTAGGTGTGTGGGCGTGCTGACCAGGTAGATGGGATAGCTTCGTCAGCACTTGGGTATGCATCTTCGGACGGTGTGTTGGTCCGAACAAGGGTGAGTGAACAAGACAGTAGACAAGGATTGCCAAGGTTACGAGGGAGCGAGCGAGGGTAAGAAGAACATGGTGATGCAGAAAAGCTAACGACATGGATTCCCCATGTTTTGCAGGAACGCTTTAGGGGCCGGGGCAAAAACGCCGAACGATGGGTGGGAGAAGCAGGGATAATCCAAGTAACCCTCTCACCCATACCCAAACGTTATTGAAGCAAAGAGAAAAGAGAGAAGAGAGAGAAAAGAGTTAGATTGAAGAGAAAAGACGGGAATAAGCAAAAGGCTAGATCAAGACACAGAACCAAGTGGTATCTCAGACATGAAGCTTCCGCATGCAGAAGTAAAATGGTATTGAAGAACATGAGACATGTGTTACAAATCCAAAAAGGGGGGAGAAAATAAAAGACGGCCGTACTTAATAGTGAAGTCGGCAAGCATGAGGGGGAAAAGAAAAGAACCAGCTTAGTCCAGAACGTATAATCATACAAGATGCGTCCAGCGAGCGATGACGGCTGCTGCGGTTACTCCTACTCATGCAAACATGGAAAATGCAAGACAGAAAAGGAAAAGGAAATTAGCGTGCAATATGCAAAAAAAAACGCCCAAACAATGCAAGAAACGGTTTCATAGTCGCCAAAATGCGAGCAAAATATTCACCCTTGAAGGTGAGGAGAAGACATGAGGAAAAAAAACAGGCATGAAAGCTGGGTAATCGATTGGGACATTTCGTCCAGTCGGATATGTGTGCAACAGGCACCATCTCGTCCCCACGTGTCGTTTCGGTGGGACAAGGGTACCCATCCAGTTGGTAGCTTTGTATACCCGCAATACCTTGAAAAGAAACAGGGTCTTTGTGTGACCATCCCGCCGCACCGCAGACAGGACTCGGGTCGAAGGGCTTCCGACAACACATGACTCAAAATGATATTGTTTTAGTCTCCTTTTCACTCTAGCATCTCGCGAATGTTGAGCCGCCTTCGCTTTCCCGCATCAGGGGATTCGGGGCCTCGTCGTTCGGGGCCGCTTGAAGAGGAGTCGCGTGGTCGTACACGTTCGCGCTCGCGCTCTTGGGCGCCACTACCCGCTTCCATGTGTAGTGGTGAGCCAAGGGGAGGAGGTCCGGTTCGAATCGGTGGAAGATGCAGGCCCTCGAGACGGGCGGGACGAGTCAACTCGCGCAGAGACTCAGACTTGGACGTAGACGGTCGAGCATTCGAAGCGTAAGGCGAGGGGTACGCATTGGAGGTGGGCTGCGGGGGTGGCTGGTAGGTTGGAAAGTATCCTGTCTCTGCGCCCGCGGTAGGAGAGTAGCCATAGGACGGACTACTGCTGTAAGAGTTGGGGCTTATTGCCGGTAGCGAAGTTCGGACGGCTGCAAAATTGTAGTAGGGTGAGTTGGGCGCAGAACTGTTGGAAGACGGCCGGCGGGCCTGGTGCGGAGTGTAATGTGAGACTGGTGGGTTTGCGGATATCGATGCTGTACGCGAAGCATTGCTTGGCGTTGGAGGAGCAAGTTGCTGCGTAAGGAGATTTGTGCCCATGGCTCTTGGCGGAGATGTTACAACCAGCGTAACAAAGTAGAGCGAAGTCTTTGCCAGTCGGATCTGAACCTGCAGTGACTGGTATTGCTCTGCACCAGGAATGCGAAAGCTGAGATACATGGTCCTGTTGGTGAAGCCGTGAGTGACATGATCAATGTCTTGATCTGACACAGCGTCCATTACTGAGCGCATGGGATCCTGGCCCACTGGGGTGATAGGCGCCATGTAAGCTGGCTCGCGCTCGTCGCGCTCGTCGCGGAGCTCGTTGCGCAGGCGCTGCAGGGAGTCGTTTTGTCGAATTTCCAGCAGGTCGCCAAGGTGTTTACCCCTGGCATCTCCCAGGAAAGCCACCAAGTCGGCAAATGCCTGATTGGTCTTCTGGATCATCAGGTCCAGACTGAGATATGCCACTGGAAGCTTGTGGTATGATAGACTCGTTGCGGGGCTGTAGGACTGAGGCAGTGTTCCGGCCACTGCATCTCTGTTCGTCGAAGGCGCCATCTGGGGATTGGCACTTGGGAGGTCCCGCTGGTGCACAGCGCCTCCCAAGACATGTTGAGGCTCGGGACCTCGAGACAGAAGGGATCCCGGATAAGTCGACTGGTGCAGAGGAGCTTCAGAGGGTGGAGCACCTAAGAGTTGGCTAGGTGGCCTTCCTTCGTCTGTTCTAAGAAACTTTCTGTCGTCCCTCAGCCTCGGCCTTCCTCTCTTCTTGTGTTGGACATCTTTACATGTGTCCTATTTTCCAGGCGTCAGTATTGTCAGGGCAAGCTTGCAGATTCAGCAACTTGTAGGCGTAAGGGGGCGACTAACCTGCTTCCCAGAAGCCACGCAACGGCCACATGGCCGCTGAACATCGCAACTGAGATGGGCCTTCTTGCAGTTGACACAGGCAGAGGCCACATGTGCCTTGGTCCTTCTAGCTGGCTTGGTGGGCCTAGCTGGCGGGGGTGCAATCATTGCGCCTTGCTGGACCATGGGCCCCTGATGCTGGACACCAGCGTACGGGGGCAAATTGGCATTCTGGTAGCCGTATCCATAGTTTTGCGGGACAATTTGTCCATAGGGCTGGTGCTGAGGCGGAGGACCGGTTTGGTAGGAGAGAGCTTGGCCTCTGGGCTGAGATTCGCCAGGGTACAGTGGTCGCTGGGGAGGGAGAACGTGTGGTGCCGACGAAGCACGCGGGTCGTAAAGAGAGGGTGGCGCAGGTGGTTGGACAAAGCTGTCTTGTCGTTGGGACGAGCCCAGGGGTTGGGAATAAGAAATGCGCGCAGATTCAACAGACTGTGCTGGTCGACGGGCTGGAGATTGAGGTTCTGACATGGGCGGGGATGGATAACCCTGATGCGCAGACCTGTGAGGACTGAACTTGGCCCGAATTCTGGCCAGGCCGTCTTCAGCTTCAGCAGGCCGCCCAAATGGCGTGGAAAGGAGCGAGGTTGGACCGGGTAGAACCAGGCTCTGCATAGTTTGACCACTATGGGCTCAAACGCTGCGTAAGCAGCGGGAGCTCAATGGTGTGGGGGGGGGGGTGTAAGGTAGGTCGGGACCAGAAACACACGCAGACTTGCAGACGGCGCTTCAGTGGACAAAGCAGGAAGATGCAGGGCACAGGAGATTTGGCAAGGCAAGTGAAGCCAATCTGGATGGTTGTCAGGGTAAGCTAATGCACGGGCAGAGAAGATATCATGACAATGACGATGGGAGGAGGGGAGCGGAGCGGAGGGGAGGACAGGTCGGCACGGCCGAGCGGCCGGCAAGTGTACAATTGGATACATGTATACGGGCATTCGTGCCGATAGGGCGGCAAGCCGTAAGCCAAGTGGCCGCCGGTACAGCAAGGCAATGGGCGTGACAGTGAAAAGGTTGGAGGGGGATGGGGATGTTGCAGTTACCTTTTTCTTTTTCTTTCTTTCTTTGTCTCTTTTGATATCAG